ACATGCCCAAGAATCCTGCGAAGGGCGGTAGCACCGAGCCGGCCATGAAGAACATTCGAAGATTGGACCACTTGCTACAGGTCAAGCCGACACAGATGAAAATGACGACGGACATCACAGATCGGGGAATCTCGATCAAGATGGTCTGCAAGCTGGCTGTATTGGGGGTCAGCATCTCAATTGGAACATAAGGGAAGAAATACCACTTACTGAAGCCAAAGGATTTGATGACAATGCTACCGAACGTTGTAAGGCCTCCGTTGGGAACGGAGCTGAGGAAAGCGTTCATGCCGGCAAACCAGAAGCATGGGTCAATGAGACATTCACGGACTTGCTTCCACTTCCAGCCCTTGATAGCGGTCTTGTCGTTACCAGTGTTGTTTGATCTGATACGAGCGCTTGCCTGGATGAAGTTAGACAAGCACGTTTGTGGCTATTTGAAGGTTGACTCACCATGTCTTTCTCCTCCTTGTTCAGCCAAAGCACCTCCGATGGTGTGCCAAGAAGTAGCAAGCAAAGGCATCCGACGAAGGTAGTCAGACCTCCCAAGAACTGTACAGTTAGTATTGCTATTCCAGCGTATGCCACACTGTAGTCGTCGACTTACGTAGGAGATGTACCGCCAGGGCTGCACTCCTTCTCTGCCTTGGGTCGCGGAGCCAATGGCGTACATGATCAGACTGGCAATGACACCGAAGCCAGCGTTGGCACTCTGGAAGACAAGAGAACGAGATGCATGTTCACGGGTCTTGTACCACGTTCCGACAAGAAGCATGAATCCCGGGCTGATACAGCACTCGAATGCTCCCTAATCTTCTGTTCAGCGAATGGAGGCCTGCTTCTATTTGGCAATGGACAAACCTGAAGAGCGCGAAGCGCAATAAGATGAGTGAAGTTCTTAGCAAACCCGATACACAAGACAATGATGCCCCCTGTGGATGGATTTCAGTGAACCGTTCTCGGTGTATATCGCATGAGCAGATGGAGCTTACAGCAAATCATGTAGATTGACAGGGTTCGACCCATCTTGTAACGTTGGACAACGACATTGCTTGGGAATTCGCAAACCATGTATGTAATGTCTAGGTTGTACTTTGTCAGTGTACTGTACCGGGCCTGTTTTGGAATGTGGGGGAACGATCACGTACAGAAAATAGTCGTCAACCACGAGTACTGTTGGCCCACCAGACCAGTGTCCTCGCGCAAGCCGAAGATGGCTTGGGTTCCCAACGCAGTCTTGTCTGTTTGCTGGATACCATAACAGAGCCACATGAGAGGAAGCAGGTAGCGGTCAATCTTCCTCTTCAACTTGTGGAATTCTTCCTTCGTGTAGCGGCCCTCGACCTCGACTGCGAACCTTGGTCAATACTGGGTGTCAAAAGCTAAAATGGATGGAGATCATACTCAAATGCGAGTCGCCGATCACCTCACTCTTGGTGTCTGATTGCGCATTGTCATCAGACACAATTGCGACCTTCTTCTCCTCATCAACGATGCGAGGTTCGGGTTGAGAGCCCATGGCTGTTGCGGGGTCAGGCAGATACCTGAAAATGCGCACAAGAAGGGGCGAAGGCAGGAAAGTTCACAATATGGCAGCTTCTCGGCGACGTGCTGGCAAAAAGTCACTTGTCTGAGAGCGAATAGTTGGGATCGGCTTATATCACTACTACAAACTCTACCCCAAATGCCGGAGGCAACACAGACCCTGGTCGGCAGGCAACGGTCCAGATAAGGATTCCCGCGGAGTCAACCCCCAACTATCGGGGGGCGAGATCAAAATAGCCGACCAGAGGGCTGGACAAGACCGAGCTGGTGGGACCTCTGAACCAACATGGTAAGTGTGTTGCACATGGTAGATATATCTTGCCTCCTCATCGGACGACGTCAGCTGCGGCTCCAATCAACTTATCTTCGCCCGTCTTGGCAGACATTAATCTTCAACGCCTGGGCGATAAGATCAGAGAGGCCGCAACGAGGGCACAAGCTATCGGGACAAAGATTACCGCCCCGGAAAAGATAATGAGACGATGGGTGGACAGCACTATGCGGGGAGTTGATTGTCACGTTCCATTGATGTGCGCCGTCGAGCTGCATGCATGATGTCCTCTTTGGTAGGTCGGATGATAGGGTTGGATCCGGGATGATAAGCGGAGGATAAGCCGGGGAGGCGGGGTTCAGGCCGTTGTAGCCGACCAACCTCCTCCGTTGACTGGGGTGGTATTCATCTCAAACATCATCTCAGAGGACAAAGCTAAAGATGGAATTTATAGCAATTGATGTGTTGGTCTTGCTTTATTAACTGGAGTAATCCCGGTGGTTGGAAGCTCAAGTCTGCTGCAAATGGTTGAATGAACTTCCAAGCTCAATCCAAATCTCACAGCTTGTATCTGAAATGAGGATTCTCCTTATCGGTGCGGTCCGTGAAGCCAACCTCGTTCACCTCGGTATCGCCATGCCCCGCGTTGACGTGCTCACCCCCTGTCATCTCAGCAAGCCGCGCGTCGCGCTTTCTGTTTTCCCACCACATCAAGCCGCCGATACAGGCCGTGAAAAACATGCAACTAGAGTACATACCACAGAGCGCTTTGATGGCGGACATGTATCGAGGGGCTTCGTCAGGATCGAACATGAAGGGGCCGATGATGTTCCCCGCAGCATAGCAAATGAAGTTTACACCATTGACCGTCATGCGCTTCGTGTGGCCGGCAAAGTTAGCCGCGACAATGGACCAATTCAGAATGATCGCAGCGCCAATTACCCCAAGAAGCCAGCAGCACGCAGTGAGTGCAAGAGGATGTTCGAGGGGGATGAGCGCGATGCCAATAATTCCTGCGATAGACGGAACACCAGCGAGTACGCTCATGAGAACGGTGATGTTCCTGTAACGCGAAGCAAGATAGCCGAGGATGACAGTTGGGATAAGTTGGAACGCCCCGCTGGGCAGTTGCCATTTCAATGTCTCGATGGAGTTGTATCCGAATCCTTTGAGAAGGGCGCTGGTGAAGTTCGTGAGGCTGCCATTGATGATGCCAATGGAGATTTGCTGTAAAGCAACACACCATACGCGAGGCTCCAAGAAAGCTTCCTTCATCTGGTAAGGTAGGAACTGGCTGTGCTTGATGCCCGTATGATTGTCGGCTACTCGCCAAACGGAGACCACCCGCTCTTCGTGGGTGAATAGCTTGAAGTCAACCGGGCTCGATGGGAACAGGAATAGCGCAATGCCTCCGATGAAGAGAGTAATCACTCCAATAACCTGATGACGGCATCTTAGCATGAATTTTGACGTTGAAGTAAACGATGAAAGCGTTCATACCAGGAAAATGAGTTGCCAAGGGGCCAAGGCGGTATGTGTCGTCGTGCCAAGTCCCCAGGAAATTCCCGAGCCAAGCATCAGCGAGATGCCGTTGCAGCCTAGCCAGATACACATTCTCAACGGCTGCTCGTCCCGAGTCCAGAACATGGATGTCACAAGCATCCATGCCGGGCCAATGCAAGCCTCCAGCCCGCCAAGAAGGAAGCGAAGCGCCATGATACCAGCAAAGTTCTTGGCGCCGACGGTGGCGACGAGCAGCGTGCCCCAACACAGAAGCATGATCGAGACGAACTTCCCGATCGGAAAGCGCTGAAGACACCAACTGGATGGGTAGGAAAATAAGAGATAGCCTATGTTGGTGATTGAGGCCACCCAGGAGTAGTCCCGCCCTTCGAGACCGAGGTCGGCCTGGAGGCCGTAGGCATTCGCGTAGTTGAGTGTCTGCTTGTCGAGGAAAGACATGAGGTAGATGAGACACATCTGCCGGAATAGAGATCAGCTTCCAGCTTCTACGACGGTGATTTTGGCGAGGGAAGGCATGTACCGAGGGCAACAAAATGAGGTCAATCTTTCTCAGAACCTGCTTCGCAATGGCGTCTCTACGTGCCGGATCCATGGCTTGGGATTCGAGATAGTAGTCGTAGCCAATGTCAGTGTGACCAACCTCGACAGCACCCTTGGAGATGCTCTGAACATCGGTTTCAGGTGTGTTTGTCTCGGGCTTCACGCCCTCGAGATCGGTGGGAGACATCTTGACGCGGGCTCACCGTGGTCGAAAGAAAGGCTGTGAGAAGATATGATGCAGTTGAAAATATCAATGCGACAGAACTCGTATAAACATCGAAACAGATACCGAGGTCCATTTGATATATCCAGAGAGCTCTACGCCTATCCTCTAAGTGACATTGGTTTCAGTTATGTCTATCCATCGGTCGGCAGCAAGCGATACTTGGGTGATAATACAACGCCCGCTCACTATCGGGAGCAAATACGCCGTCGGTGCCTGCCCGAACAATAGAAACAGCAGGGACGACAACATGGAGCCTGGTCTCTATGGTCAGCCGAGTGATAGACATGAATCCCAGATACCCGGCACAAGCTCGGTCCACCAGTTAATTGGTTGGTGGAATACATAGGGTAAGGAACAGCTACTCTGCAGGTCTTGGTGGCATCTTATTACCTTGCGGGGAACCTGGCTCTCACAGTGACATGTTGGAATACTGATAGCCCAATCTCGCGCTCTCTGTACCTCCCCGCGGTCTCGTCTAGCCGTGATTGGCTTCATTCGACTTGCGCGGTTATGCAGTTCTCTGCTATGCATTGCGTTGCATGCTGATGCACCGCGGTCCCGTGGTAGTCACACAGCATATGCAAGAAATACATTGAGGACTTAGGATGACAGTCGTTTTGTTGTCGGACTGGAGGTCGATAAGACCTCCTTTGTGGATACATATCCGGGCTGTCGGACAATACTCCGACCGGCCCCAGTTCCCGGCCCTCTAGATTCCACTTACCCCGAGCCATTCCTGCTGTGGGACACATGCTAGGAGAAATGATAATATGGCTCCGGGTTTATTTTTGTGCTATTTTTGGTGCAAGAAAGGCACCCAGGTCTCTTCGATGGGCACCTTTGGCATTTTTCCAACTACACATCGCCATCTCCTAAACTATGCATGCAAACAACATGACCCTGACAAACGGAGCCTCAAAGCCCTACAAGGCCGCCATCATCCAAGATTTCTCGACTAATAAGCCTTGGGGCCAGATGACGATCGATGCTACAGCGAACTTCATCCGTCGCGGTATTCCCCATGCTCAAGTTGATCACTATCGGGCAGCTGATGGCGAGACCCTGCCCCCAGCCAAAGACTACGACCTGTTCGTTTTGACGGGAGGAACCGTTAACCTGCTTGAGGAGGAGACGCCGGAATGGGCATTGCGCGTGCTTGATTTGATCCGCGATGCTGGCGGGCTCCCTCGGACTAAGCTTATTGCATTTTGCTGGGGACACCAAGCAGTTCATTATGCCTTCGGCGGGGTCTTGGATCTTCTTGAAGAGGGGCCTAGGGTACGTCTATCAAAAACAGACCATACAGTACCGGAAGCTAATCTCCGATTGTGAAGATTGCCGTTGAAGAGATGAACCTGACACTGGAGGGCAAGAAGCTGTTCGGAAAAGAAACTCTGGTGAGCAAAACTCCTTAATCTCTAGCCTCAATCCTAGCTGACCATGAATCTGAAGCTACTACAGAAGTACCACAAGCGCTACATATCGCGACTCGCGCCAGACTTCACAGCGTTGGCAGAGCGATGTGAGATCTCATGTAGCAAGGAGAAGGGCATTCTTACTTTCCAAGGCCATCCCGACCTCAGTCGCGAAATCGTACGGGCTCTTATTGATACGGATGATGGATTATACAAGCCTTCCGAGACAACACATCGCAGTCCTTGCGGCAAGCTGTTCAGCAGTGACACGGCTGACGATGGGGATGAGGTGTGGTACAAGATCATGGACTTCGTGTCCGCCTCATAGACATGCTAGCAACTGCGGCGGAAAATTGTTTGTGACCGAGATGGATGATGCCTCGTTCAAATAATATCGTTCTGGATCATTTTAACCCCTGTCAGTGGAAGTCGCAAGCTACACCGTCCCCATAAAGCGGACCGTCCCGCCGTCTTGCTGAATAATATTAAATTCAATAGGAAGACAATTGGCCATAATCTAGCTTATCTCTCTGATTCGCAATTTACAGGGCAATTGACCTCAGAGAAGAACCAAGCTTTGGGGTGGAACTGCGGGCTACCGCGTCTCGCGTTTCGCGAAGCACGTCATATGCGGGACCTATTCGTCAACAAGCTTACGATATAAGACATGCCGAGCATCTTCGGGGAGCCAACGAGGGGCGACATATTTGAGTCCATGCTGGAATCGTAACTTCAGGTTTCTGATAGGAATTGATCCAGTGGAAAATGGCGCCCAGATACTCAAGCGTAGCCATCATCGGGGCTGGTCCATCCGGCATTTCAGCTGTGAAGGCGCTGAGTGAAGAGAAGGCGTTTGACAGGATCCAATTGTTCGATAGAAGAGAGAAGATCGGAGGGACATGGTAGGTCATCCTCGGTGGATGCGCATGGTTAGATGACTGACATGCCGCTCAGGATCTACGACGAGAAGCCAGAGCCTTTCTCACCGCACTCAAGTCAGCCAACCAGGGACCTTCCTTCAAAGTTTCCACAATCAGTCCTGCCAGCGTCTGAAAATGTCACTGCCAAAACGGGCATCTACCCTTCCCTGGACAGCAACGTCGGCTCACAAGTCATGGCTTTTACTTACAAGCCTTTCCCCTTCGTCCATTCATCAACATCCATCAACCGCTTTGGAAAGGCGAATCCGACGCATCCTTGGGAAAAGGTCGCCGGGTATCTGGAAGAGATTGCCGAGCCATTCAATCATCTTATCACCCTCAACACCCACGTTGAGCGAGTTGAGAAAGTCGGAAAGAAGTGGAGGCTCACGCTTAGAAGGACACAGTACTACCTTAAGGGCCAGAAGAGGGACTACTGGTGGCAGGATGAGTTTGATGCTGTGATCGTTGCAACTGGGCACTATGGCGTGCCATATGTGCCCAAAATTGCGGGGCTCAAGGAGACGTTTGCTGCGTTACCTGAGAGATTTGAGCACTCGAAGGCGTACCGCTCTCCGGAAGACTACTTCGACAAGGTGAGTCCAACCGTGTCAATTTAAACATTGGAGTCATCATCTAATCACCACCACAGAAAGTCGTGGTTGTCGGTGGCAACGTCTCAGCCTCAGACACCGTTTCGGAAATTCACAACATCGTCTCAGGTCCTCTCTACGTTGCTCAGCGCGGGTACAACGAGATCCTCAAGGACGCATGGGAACTCCCCAACGTTGTTCTCAAGCCCGAGATTACGAAGCTGTCCGTCGGCGCAGATGACCTCGTCAAAGTCAGCTTCAAAGACGGCACGGAAGTAGACGGCATCGAAAGGATCCACTTCGGCACGGGATACCGCCTCTCATACCCCTTCCTCGTCCCGGACCCCGTCACCCCCAGCGGCCGACTGTCAGGTTTCTACCAGCACGTGTTCAACATTGCCGACCCTTCGCTCACGGTAGTCGGACAGGTCAAGGCCGCCATCTCGTTCCGGGTGTACGAGTACCAAGCCGTCGCTGTGGCGCGGTACTTTGCCAACCGTGGTGGGGGCCTGCCGTCGCCGCGGGAGCAGGACGAATGGGAGGTGAAGCGGCTGCAGTACAAAGGGCCTACATCGCAGTTTCACGAGATCAAGCTTGACTTTAAGGAGTATTTCGACTTTTTGAAGGACGTGGCTGGGCCGCCTGCGGAGGGGACTGATGGGTATGAGTTGCCTGCGTGGGAGGATGAGTGGGGGCTGTTGGGATTCGGGGTGTTGGCCTTGAAGCAGAAGTGGTGGAGGGAGTTGAAGGAGAGAGATGAGCAGAAGGAGCAGATTAAGGCAAAGCTCTAAAATTTTGGTCTCTAGGATTGCCAAGACAGAAAATTTCGTCCATCTGACGCTATTGAACTAGGTCTTCCATGATGCCATTCCCAGGCGAGGGTTTCCCATCCGCACCATCAACCAACCCCACGAAACTAAACATCGGTCAACTTCCATCGCGCCAAGAAGATGGTTCCCGTGAATGTGGTTCTGCCAGAAAAGACCTACCGAATACGGACATCTTTCCGGGGTATGGATCGACGGCCTCCACTCGGAGGTCCAATGGGGGCCAAGATTCTCGCCGTTGGGTGGATTCAACGGCACCTTCAACGTTGCACTAGCATATTCGTCATTTTGCACCAATATGAGGAGTCATTCCACGCGAGAAAATTTGGAGAAAGAGCTTTTTTTCGAGGAGCGGCTTGCAACGGGAATAGTCACGATGTAAGCAGAGGCAGACCTTGTCCGATATAAGGTTGGCTGATCCCACTTTACGTTGCGGCTCACAGCACAACGACTTCATCACGACTCAAGCCTAAAATCGACGATGGCTGAAGAACCGACCAAGACTCCGGTCTCGGAGGTTCAGGACCACGCTCCGGCGTCTGAGCCGGTAAAGCGTGTCTGGTACCACTCAACGCTGTTCAATGCCTTCGTTATTGGTGGTGTCGGTATGTCTCCCTGTCACTACCGCATGCAACATGATTTTAACAGTGCCATATAGGTTTCATGGCCCCCGGCCTCTGGAACGCGATGAATGCTCTCGGCGCAGGCGGCGCTCAGGAACCGTTCCTCGTCAATGCCGCCAACGCCCTAGTGTTTGGCCTCATGGGCTTCCTCTGCCTCTTCGGCGGTCCCATCGCCAACCGCATCGGCCTTGCCCGCACTCTGCTTCTCGGCGCCGTGGGTTACCCTCTTTACTCCGCCGGCCTGTACTGCAACAACCGTTTCGGTAACGTCTGGTTTGTGCTTGTCGGCGCCGCGGCATGCGGTGTATCGGCTGGTTTATTTTGGGCCAGTGAAGGCGCCGTCGCGTTGGGCTACCCGGAACCGGCAAAGAGGGGAAAATACATGAATATTTGGCTGTGGTTCCGCACAGGCGGGCCTCTCGTAGGCGGTGCCATCGTGTTGGCGCTCAACAATGACGCTGGTGCGAAGAAGAAGGGAAAGGTTGGATACCAGACTTACCTCGTCTTCATCGCGCTGCAGTGCCTGAGTGTACCCCTGGCCCTGGCCCTATCGCCGCCTGAAAAGGTGCAGCGTACCGATGGGAGCAAGGTCATCATCAAGGCGGAAAAGTCATTCTCGGCCGAGTTCAAAGAGTTATTCCGCATCTCGAAGAGGAAGGATGTGCTGCTGCTACTACCGATCTTCTGGGCGGCATACTTTAACCAGTACAGCGGCAACTTCCAGTCTTACTACTTCGGCGTAAGAGCGAGAGCACTGATTGGGTTTGTGAGCAACTTCGGCACGCTCTTGTCCAGCCAGCTTATCAGCACTTTATTGGACTACAAGGGCTTCAGCGTCAAGAAGAGGATCAACATTGGATTCTACTATGTCGTTGTCTGGCACATCATCGCGTGGGTGTATGGATGGGTCATTCAGGAGAAGTACACCGCCAACCCGCCGGCGTACGACTGGGAGGACAAGGGGTTCACCGAGGGCTTCTTCGTTCTGCTGCTGTGGGACTTTGCGAGACAGGCTTTGCAGAATTGGCTGTACTACCTGCTGGCAACCAAGACGGACAACATCTCCGAGCTTGCTCGCTTCTCTGGTGTCCTGCGTGGACAGGAGAGTTTCGCGCAGGCTGTCTCGTTTGGGTTGAACACCAGGAAGTGGCACGGTGGCCGTGTGCCGCTGGCCATCAACACGATTCTTCTGGGTCTTGCTGTGTATCCTACGTGGCTCGTCGTTAGAGACCACGTCCCCATTGAGACGGACAAGCTTGCCACCGTCGAGGAGGGATCGCAGGGGGAGCTTGCTGAGACGCGGTTGTCAGCGGACGAGAGGAAGGACTTTGTTATTGGACAGACTGGTATTGGAAGAGATGCTAAGATCTAAGTGCTTAGATTTACTATGGCATAGACTACTTAGGTAGACACAGACTTAGCGAAACTGAGATCTTGCTATTTTTGACCTTGAGGGCCTTTACCACGATATACTTTTATGGCCTCTCGGAGTGAAACTCGCGAGTCAGACTCCGTGAGGTGCGGTTTACTGTTTTTCGCACCACTGTTGATATTGGTTTCATTGGTATTTTGTCCTCGGTATTTATCGTTCCTGGTTGTTGTGTTGTCAACTTAGACTGAAAGACATTGGGAGCGTATTACTAAGGCATTCCACTTTGCTCAAGAAGTTATCGTTAGACAGCCTGAGGACCACATACCGCCGACACTCGAACGCCACCGTTGCGCCAACTTTCGCCCCCCGAAATGTCTTCAGGAGGGATGTTTCGATTCGGCGCTAGATATTCCCATCCATTGCAGGATAGAGAAGGTCAGGCATTTGAGCTGAGACTTTTGCGCCCTGTCATGGCCGCCGCCCTTTCATCTTTCAATACATCTGGTTCATTTCGATAGTTCATGGCCGCTTCACAACGGCTCGTGACTGAAAGTTGCCATTTTGTCCGGAAATACTCTCGTTCTGTCTGGCTCACCTTGATCGCGTCATTCTGGCCTTTACATATTTCTCCGTCAGAGTCATTCAGCAGTCAAAAAGGTGTGCCCACAACCGGCAAACTGCGAAGAAAGGTTAGAAGGGGAAAAGGACCTTGATCACACACCTCCGGTGATTGAGATTCCACAAAAAGAAGATTTCGACTTCTGATATACCACAGCTCTTCGCTTTTCATTCAACCACCTATCGAGAAAGAAAAAAAACATTTCAAACGACCGAAAGCAGCCAGTCCACTAAGACCACGCAACCTGCAACAATGGATATTACCCTTCCTTCACTCGAGTCCATTATTGAGTTTGCGGGGATCGCCATATTAGTCGTATTCCTCATCGTCACCATCGGCGTGGTCTGGGCCGAGGTGGTCGAGGCCTTCGTCAGCAACTCCGACAACTTCATCCGCCGCGGCCGCCAGCTACAAAATTGCCTGCACCTACCGCAGCGCCTATGTCTTTTCGCTGACTCGGACCCGGGTATGTCGGAGGACACTGTCCGCTTCATCGGCGCGGCCGCCCTGCCTGTAGGCTTGATGCTCGTTGCCATCATCGTCTGGGGCATTTCCTTGGGAGCGAGACACGAGGAGCCGGATAGATGGTTCTGGTATCTGGTCGCGTTGTTCGTGGGGTGTCTGGTTTGCCCCTGGGCGCTGATGTTAGCGGCGCGTAGCCGAGAGGCGAGGATGGGCAGGGAGGCGGCGGAGGATGGTGGCGAGGCGGGGTATGCATCGGCGCCGCGGGTGATGGATGACCGTTAGGAGGCTGAGAGCCATCGTAGGTATCATGTGATGGGGATGACGATGGAGGGCATGGCGTTGTGGAGGGTGTGACGACAAAGCGGAGAAGAGATTTGACAGCAAGAGGCTCTGATAACGAGGGACAGGCTCGGCTTACGATGGCCTACGGACTCCAGAGTTTTGCAACGTACCTACGCCCCGTTAGAGTCAGTGGAAGCTAGATTGTTGGAATTCATTATATTGATCCGTAACGGGACATGGCTCAAACTTTCTGGCACAACGGGATGGCGTTGATTGACCATCTCGTCATCGTCAACCTTGATGGCATTGTCATTCTTCCGTTCATGGCACACAATAAACAATCTGGGGCTTCCAGCCGTTTCTCTCTCTTCTTCAGACTATTCACAAACACAAAAAGTCATCGATCTAGTCGGGCAGCAAACCGACTCTATCCCAAGGCATCTTACACCAACAATGTCGAACCTCACTAGCCTCGATTATCTCGGAATACTCATAATAGGCGCGTTCCTCCTCGTCACCACCCTCCTCATCTGCGCCGAGCTCATCGACAGCTTCACCGAAACCTCATGCCCCTCCATCCCCTGCCGCCAGCGCGCCCAGAACTTGCACCATCTACTACGCTGGCTGCGCGTCTTCCCAGACTCGAATCCCGGCATAGGCGACAGGGCCCTCCGCTTCATCACCGACGCCGCGCTGCCGCAGGGCGTGGCGCTGCTCGCCCTCGTCGCCTGGGGGACCCACCTAGCTTTGGACCGCGAGGTGCCGAGTCGGTGGTTCTGCTACCTCGTCGACATCTTGGCGGCGTGCCTTGTGCTTCAGTGGGCTCTTCTAGTGGTGGACCATAGAGCGCGGGCTCGAAGAGAGAGAGCGTTGGCAGCGGCGAATGCTGGGAAAATTGAAAGTATGAATGAAAAGATCGTGGCAGATCACAAGGCGCGGGATCGCAAAGAGAGGGCGCGGGATCGCAAAGAGAGGTCGGCGGCAGCCGCGAGTGCCACGATAGCTCGCTATTATCCAATGGGTATGGGGCTTTTTGGGCACGGGACGGGCGATTTGAAGGAGGGCTATCCGTTTGCGCCCGTATGTTCTTGAAGGCCAGAATAGCGACGGAAATGTTGAGGAGGATCGTGATGTTGCGGAGGTTGCGGCGAATCAGACCTGCGATTCGATGCGGAAAGGCTTGAGGGAGGGGGAAAGGGATAGGCAGAGATCATGGAATGGCGATATCTTGGAATTTTGGATTCGGTGTCATGCTGTCAGAATCACGCTATTGAGGGCTTATAGAAAAGCGGCCAACAATCTTCAACAACGTCTGGTGACATGCGAAAGTCGTATCCACGATAAGGGAGTGACAGAAATGAACAACTTTTATATACGCCGGATATAGTCTCATTACAAGTATCTACTAGACAGCTTTCGACGCGCGGGACTTGTTGTCCCGGTGCCTCTTCTCCTTGGCCGCCGTCTTGCGGCGCTTCATCCACGACTGGTTCAGGTTCCGCCTGTTCTCCCAGAACCACTTCTGGAACTCGCCGGGGGGCACGCCGCTACCGGACCCCTCGCCCTCGACGGCGTTCTGCTCGGCGTTAAGCGTAGCCTCAATCTCCTGCTGCGTCGCCTCGTCGTCCTCCTCTTCCTCGTCGGGCTCATTGCCGATGGCCCAGAATGGCTTCGTGCGGCCGGGGAACGCGGTGTCTGGGGTGGGCGCGGCGCTCCTGACGTTGCGCCAGGCGAACTCTTCTTCGGTGAAGGGCGTCATGGGCATCTGCGGCATTGCGGGCACGGCGTCGTCTTCCTCGATGTCGTCGTTGTCGCCGCCGCCGAAGAAGCTGAAGGGCTGGGCTTCCTTCGCTGGTTGAGGGGTGGAGTCACTATCGGGCTTGGGACGCTTGTAGAGGGCTTCCAGGGGGTGGACCTTGGCAGGGGTCGTGGGGGGTATCTTGATTGTCAAGCTGACGTTGGAGCCGGATGACCTGGGGCGAGAGGCATCGGCGGCCTTGAGGGCGGCCAGCGGGCTGTCGATAAGGGCCGGAGCGGTGGCCTTGTCTGCATCCTCCATTTCATCGTCAGAGTCCGAGCTATCTTCATCAGATGAACTTCCGCTACTGCTCGTAGTGTCGTCGTCGACAGATTGAGGTGGGGGCTTTGACGCTTCGGGGGCCTTCTTTGCAGGTGTCACCGGTTTTGCCTTGGCTTCCTTCTCTTCCTCGTCCGAACTCTCGTCTGATGAAGTATCCTCCTCAGAGGAGGTGCCGCTGCTGCTCGTCGTATCGTCCTGCGGGGGAGGGGTAGGGGCCTTGGCGGGCTTCTTCTTCTTCTTCGTTGCTTCAGACTCGGGAACGGGCGCCGTCGCGGTTTTCCTGATCTTCTCCGGCTCAATCACGTTGCCCTCGGCGTCGACCCAGCCCTTGCCCTCGACAAATTCTGTCGTGAGGGCCTCCGCGGGGGCCGGCTTGGTGGCCTTGAGGAACGTAGGAAACTTGGTGGTCTTCTCAAACTCGTGGATGACGACTTCCCGGGACTTCTTCTTGCGCTTCTTCTTCTCCGGCTCCTCCTCCTCGCCGTCGGCCGGTTTTGTGGTGGGGAGCTTCGCGGGCAGCTTCGTCTTCAGCAGACACTCCTCCCTGTCGGTGTACTTGGAGCGCTCCTCGCGCTTCTTGGTCTTGTCCTTCTTGTCCTTCTTCTCACCCTTTTCCTTCTTGCTCTTCTTCTCCCGGATCTTGGCCTCCTCGGGGACGGTCCATCCGCGCTTGACCTTGCGGTCACGCAGCTCGACGCCCTCGACGAGGTTGTGGTCGCGCTTCCGCTTCTTCTTGGTGCCCTCTTCCTGCTCCTTGGACTTCTTCCTCTTCTTCTTGCCCGAGTCCTCCTCGCCGGGCACTGGGAGGTAGTTCTCCTCGGGGCGGGCCTTTTCTATCCTCATCTTGGTGCCCTTCAGCACGGCCCCGTTCAGCCTCTTCTTGATCTTCTCAGCGTCGGCCTCGGGCAGCTCGACGTAACCGTAGCGCTTCTCGGGGAAGGTCTCGAGAGTGTGGTAGGAGATGTTGCGGGCCTTGGGGAGGGTGGAGGAGGGGATGATGACCTTGACGAGGTCCTGGTCGAACGGGGTGATGTGCAGTCGGGTGTAGTCGCTGCTGGTGTCGGAAGGGCCAGCAGGGATATCGGAGGGACTCGCGGGGGGCGACATTAGGTATTAACGGATTGTCGGCGGGGAGAAGGTGTGCAACAGTCGCCAGACGCTTTGTGGTGAGCGTCGTCGGCCGTCGATCGTCAAAGAGAATGGTCTTGGAGCTAACAAAAAAAAGAATAAGCTGAGCTCGACCAGACGGAAAACCCTTTGTTGCGCAGGGATTTTCATTGGTCGAGGCGTGTTTTTATCTTGGGCCGTGCGTATCTGACAGCACTGGCCACCAGGCGCTGATTATGTCAGCGACGATTCTGGAAACCAGCCCCACCGGATCGAGCAATTGACTTTCCCTGAGAAAACGACACCTCAGAACATCACCAAACCTCATCGTCGGCTTAGTATTTCGATGCTATGCGAATACTGGGCTTCCAATCGCAGCTTGCAATAGACCAAAAAAAAATATCTCCCTGGTGGTTTCAAGCGAAACCTTTTCTCTCCCTTATTTGCAGGTACAGACATGGGCTGCCCTTTCCTTCACGAAACGGGACCTGCGATGGGAGTCGACTTCCTTCATCGTTCAACGAAAGCAGCAAGTGCTACCTCATGCCTCGGCAAAAATAACTCAGCAAGTGATACTCTCCCTTGAATTTGCAATGCTCATGGACAAAGTCTGCCAAATATCAAGTTCCTCTGCCTCAGCCGACTTCCTGTCCAGGTTGAAGTAGTATCCTCGTCTCCTTTGATTGACCCTCCAGACCTCGTCTTGCAGCCTCTTTGTCAAACGACTTTCGTCCAGCATTTCCTTATTACATCAACAATATGTTGTCTTTTTGGTCAAACTCGAATCAAAGCAAGGCCCAACCGGCCCAGCCGACCGCAGCCCCAGGGACCTCGGTCGACAAAAATGGTGCCATCACCCATCATCTTCCTGGCGTCTTTGTCCCAAACTGCCAGGATGGAACCGTCATCTTTCCGACAACCAGGCGAAAGCCTTCTGGAAAGAAACGCACCGTCATTCCACCTCCGCCAACGTCCATTACAAACTGCACTTTGTTGAGCGACGGCGGCGTCGGTCATGTTGCTTGGGCACCACCTGCAGCCCCTCCCATTCGCCGACCCTCCAGATGCTTGAGCGTCGATGCCAATGGCAATGCCATCCCCCCGGACTACGCTTCAAAGGCCGTCGGGGAAAATCTCGACGCTGGAACCCTGGCGAATAATCCTGCACAAGGTAAGGTTTACAGAGTACCCCTTGGTATGCGTGTCGCTGACGAGCCTCTCACAGGAGCGAAAGGCCCTGGTCTCCAGCCTCAAGCATCCAAACTGTCATCAAACGTCAACCGTGGCCAGACTCTGGAGCCGAGCTCGACAAGTAAACAAGTACGCAGCAAGTCAGCCGCCCCAAAGATGCCATCACCCAGCAAGCCATCTACAACCAGCGGTGGAGGCTCCGTAAGCAGCTCTAAGCGGCCAGGGTTGAAGGCGCGTGGCAAGTCGCATTTATCCATGCATGACATTGTGCGCAAAGTGCGAAACCACCTTTCAAGCAACTCCCGACGTCAGACGGGATCGTCCGAAGCCTCCCCGCAACCTGCACCCACTGCACAAAAGAAAGCTGCCGACGACATCAAAACAGCTTCTACATGCCGCCGTGGCTCCTGTCAGTACGTCTTGAACGACGGCGAAATCCAAGATGTCGTCGAAATCGTTGTCCACGAGATGTGCAAGCATGGCGTTGGTCCCGTCGACAAAGATCAGGGTGCTACTTTGCAGCCAGGCGAGGAAGTTCCAAGACAGGTTGTCCGAAAGCCCAGCTGCCTCATGAATGCCCTTGGACCACAAGTCTCCGACGTGGCGGAACCGGCGACCACCATAAGCTTGCCCGAAACCGCCTTCTTCGCCCGCAGTCAATCTGACGGTCAAATACGCGCCAGGATTAGGTCATCTAAAGTATCCCTGACCACCATCCTATCCAAAGACAATGTCACCGATATCCGATGGGCAGCCGACGACACAAAGCCCGAGAACGAATCTCAAGGAGACACCAAACATGGACCGACAGAAAAGTCAGGCGGCGAATCGTCCGCCGAGGCCGGCAGTGCAGCAAAATTCAACATCGAAGGTGATCAAGACCAACCGAACGGTACCAAAGCGGCAGCACAGACAAGCGAGAACGCCAAGAATGATAAGGCTGGAGATGTCCCCGGTACCGCCGAGACTCCCGCAGCTGGACCGCGACTTCACGAGATTTCTGACTGCGACATGGATGACTTAAGTGATTACGCCATCGACAATCAGCCAACACCCAATCTTCCTTCTGCAGACGATTCAACCACAAAGCATGTTGACACCAAGGGCTCAGACGCTATCAGTCAGGAGCTCGACAAAAGCGGTACCGAGGCCAAAACGCCAGACGCGGTGGAAATCAAGCTGGATTCCCAAGAAGCATCGCCTGGAGCAGACCAAGCTGGCGAGTCCCCCTTGAAAAAAAGCGGTCCTGACGATGCTGGACGTGGAGGTCTGAAGCAGGCGTCCAACCGCGATGATTCTATTACCAAGGAGGTTGATCCAAGCCCCCACGAAGTTGATCTCGCCTCTGCCGGTCCTGATCCTAACAAACTTGACGCCAAAGAGGACGGCCTGAAGGTTCCCGATGCTGATCAAGGGGACCCACACCAATTGGAAGTTTCAACATCAGATGATAAGCCGGCAGAATCCAAGACTTTGAAATCGAGGTTTTTAGAGACGTTCCTGAAGCCATCAAATGACTCTGCCGCCGATGGCGCCTCCGGACATTCGGAGATCCTTAGGGAGGCGAGCCTGCAGAAGGAGAATAGGAAATCATCCATCGATAATGGCCTTGGTGATCAGCAGAATGTCACTTCATATCCTACGTTGAGTAAACGCCGTAGCACGCATGCTAGGCAAAGTACTCCGTATGGCGCTATTCCCGAAGAGCAAGAAACGGATGACATGTACCACCTTGGCGTCGACGCCAGGCCGGGCGGTGCGGTGCCCGCGACTGACAGTAACGTTTCACGACCAGATGCGACAGCGAGGTACAACTTTGGTCTGTTCAATCGGAGTGTATTCGGAGAAGGCACTTACGACGCCACATTGAAGCCTGGTCGTCGAGTATCTGAAGCTTCCATAGTGGCCGTCGGAGCTGCTGCTCCCCGCTCGATGGACAAGGTCCTCTACAGGTCTCGCTCCGCTCATTTTGCCGATGTCTCCAATTCGGATCCTGGATTTCTACAGAAGCTCACTAGCAAGCTAAGCTCCGTTTCCAGACTCCGCCCGAAACACCTGTCATGCGGGCGCCGGCTCCGTCCCTTGAAAGTACCGCAATTTCGAGGAAAGCTTCCGAGAGCCACGTCCCAGGCGATCCGAGTGAAGGGGACGAGGCGGATACGGCCGGATACATATCTGAGCCCGAGCCCTCTTCCGTTTAACAGGCCATGACAGTGTCGAAGCCAGCAAAGGCCGAAGCGCAGCGTCGTAGTATCTGCTCAGAGGACAATGCGCCCCAGCGAATCGATGCTGTCACCAGTCTGAAGGGTTTGATGGGATCGGGTGGAAGATGAATGGCAAACATAGAGCTCTTCAACAGGTCAGAAGAGGACTTTACCCGACATCAGAAGAACCTAGTTGCTATCACTACAGAATCAAATTGTTTGCTCCCTATACATTATTTCTTTCGTTTTATACGTGTGAAAACTGCTTGAGCTAATGCGGATGCTTGCTAATTACCCAGCACCTATGGAGTTCTCTTGGTCACAGGCTTCCTACAGAGATGCTAAAGTCAATAAGGAGCACTCTGTCGGACCAGTACTAGGCTGTTTCGGACACCCCTATTGGGATGGATATCAACAACAGGCAGCCATGGACTAGTTTGAATAGCTCGGAATAGAAGACAAACAGCAACCGATAATCGAACCGAGATCAACAGACCTCGTGACAATTTTACCACAAGGACACGAGACTGCAATGTGTGCTAAGTGGTGATAATTTCTTGAACGAACTAGAAGACCATATATGATGACGAAAAAAGAAATAGGAAAAGAAAGATGTAAAAATGAGAAGGAATGATGTTTCATGGTTGACAATCCAATTCAGATCAATGACAGCTCATTCCTCCCACTCGCCTCGTTTCTCTTGACCCTGACCCTGTATGTCAACTTGCCATCGGCAACGGAGGTTCCTGCCATAATCATCTTCTCCACGGCCTCGTCATTTTTATCAGTGCTCCTATCGATCAAGTCCTCCGTCTCTGAAGAAACAACCTGACTTAAAGAAGCCCATACGTTGCCAAGCCAACTAGCCTTCGTCCACCCCAGAAATAATACAGTTATGATCGTGAGGAGAATCAAATGGGCAGTTATTGTGACGGCCACGACGATGAAGCCAGTCCATTGTGTCGGTATGAGTTTCTCGCTCGACGTAGTCATGACGGCCATTGATTCATGATTGAAGTACGGTGAATTTTCGTAGTATGCCATCTGTCGAAGAACCGTGAACAGGGCTTGAAGGCCTTGGGTCAACTTTCCCGTAGTCTTTACGACGTCCTGGAAGAGAGCTGCGTGCGCGTAATGCACGGCGTACGGGGAAAATGCGCCAGGGACCAGGATTCCTCCCGCAAGGACCTCAAAGGTCTCAGCGACTCCATTTAAGTTCATGTACGGGAGACCTCCAGAGACGCTGTTGAAAATCATCCAGTTACTCAAGTCGTACTGGCTGCCCCCATCTTCCAAGCTCATGTTGTTTCGAAGTTCCCAGCGCGTCTTTCCATCCAAGTCCAAAGTGCCGCGCATGTTCCGCGAGGCTTTGTCGTCGCCGAGATTTATGTACTGATCGCGAATCGAAGCTGTCTCGTACACGTCTTTGACGTTGTCCCAAGAAAGACTTAGCTCGGACCCGTCTTGATCGCTAGACATACTGACGTCCTGATAAACTCCAGGCAGCATGGTGAAGCAAGTGCTAATCGATACCTTCGCTTCTAATCGTCCAGGCGGTGGTTGCAAATGTACCCAAATCCCTTCCTCAGTTGTTGTCCAGTCTTTTGCATCACTCAGCATAATATAAATCCCTTCTCTGCTCTCTCCCGTCTCTTTTTGATATTCTCGCCATTGTTCTATTGGCCCCGTTGTATTGAGAACTAGGAACGTACTTGCTCGGGATGCCGATATTGGAAGCACCGTTGAACGAAAGTTTGGCAACCGTGTGTATTGAGAATCATCCGAACGCACCCCGCCCTTGGCAGAACAGATTGACGTTGGCCAATATTTGGCCGCTTCATCAGCCTTTGGTGCGTGACTTATGCAGCTGAATGACCACCCACCTGGAGGTGGATTATAGTCCGAGTCAAAGAGCGATGGTTCGTTTGGAATTGAGATGGTGGCTGTAATCGTAACCTCATCGAATTTTCGAATGCGGCCGTTCCCTGCGACTTGTTTCGCAATCACTGTTGAAAACCCCATGCCTGTAACATTCGGTCGGGTGCACACCACCCTCGAGTCGAACACAACACTAGGGCCCTCGTATTTTCGCAGGTTCGTGCGATTGGCAACATTAGTGAATGGTAGAATGGCTCGTAAAGCAGTCCCTGAATCCTCGACTTGGTCAAGGTCGATATCGGGACTAGCATCGTTACGAAGCTCGGCAAAGCGATAGTAACTGTTGGGCTGCGAATTCCAGATCTTTGATCCTCTCGGCGTGCCAATACCTGAGCTACCCGAAGGGTCGGTGGAAGTGCCAACGCCAAAAGCATCTTCTTGTTGACTGCTGCCGTAGAGCAATCCCACGGTTTGTTTGGGCGTGATGATGTTGATGTTCTCAAAGTCAATCAGAAGCGCCGTCGAAATGAAGTTGGAGGCTCCCGTTAGAAGAACTGCAAGACTAATCGCAAACGCCAAGGGCGTCGTCAATGTTCTCCTCGAGACCAGATTGTATGGAGATGTAGACACGGCCCTGAGCATCGAGATAAGCGGCGCCGAGCCAATAGGTACGCCAGTTCTTTCGATCAAGAGAGAGGCAACCATCGCAGTAAATATGCCCATCTGAAATCCCAGGCAGACGCGAATCACAGCGGCTGTGATGGTCACAGTCACCGAGGTCCAATTTCTCCGGATGATCAGATCCCATAGTTGACCGTTGTCAAGGTGCCCGGCTTGCGCCCGCATGGACGACCGCCAGATGTGGGCCAAGAGAGCCATGCCCACTACAATGCCAACTGTTCCCAAGGCTAGGACGCAAATGGCAAATAAGCCAAGGGCATTCCAGCGAGCTGGCGATGTAGCATTATTTGCCGCTTCTTTCGTGGACGCGTCCTCGTTCAACAAAAAACATTCGGCACTGGGCTCTGACTGATTGGATGCATGCTCTCCGGTGTTCTGTTGCTGAAAAGTTCCACCCCTCTGTGGAGCATCCTGGCCGACCGGTGTGGATGGAGAACCTGTATTGTGATGGCGGGTCACTCCGGCCGAAACACACTGAGGAGAATGCTCGAAACTGCTGATTTCAGATTCACTGCTGAGTGGACCTTGGGTTGGCAGTGAAGGGTCCATGTTGATTCATGGATGACTTGTGTAAGGCAGCTGAAGGTAGAGTATGGTCAGAGTCAAGACATTTGCAGAAAGCGGGTCTTCGTAGAAGATAAATAACACGCTAACCATCCACCTTACCTGCTCTATGTACTTGTAGGTTGCGTTTGAAGGGAGGGAAATCCGCCTGCCAAGCGAGGCGGGGTTGAATCTTGGCAAGAAGCTGACATCTTGTGTAACCCGTGATAATCAGATTACTGGTGGTTGGCACTACTAGAAACGCAATGTCTTAGTCTGAGCCATTTCAAGGCCATAAAATCCGCCTCTTTCAGCCTGGTCCAACATCAACGAACGCAGCCACACCATCAGGAAAAGTGGTCCTAGTTGCACATTGAGCGTCACCAGTCGCCTAACGACAATAATCATTTAGCCGTTGATCGTCTCAAAGGTAGCACCTGGTATACCTGTGGAATAGCCGTCAGTACATCGAATTGAAAATATTGGTTCCGTACAACACACCCGGTATTATTTGCTTGGAATAGCCAGCTATGGCATCCAATGGCTTGGCCCTGAATAGAAGGAGAATAAAATGGCCAAACGTTTGTAATCATGTTTATACGATGAAATACAAAGAACCTTATCGTCAAGTAACAACATGTAGTTGTTCTGATCTAGCGATGAGATGAGTGATGTCAGATCATTCTATCAACTCCATGTAACTACCTTTGATCCATCTGACAATGCTTCTGCTAAACCGCCGCAGTCTACTCCGGATGAACCTGAGATCCAAATGCATTATTGGGTCCACATGAACCTCTAGCTGTCCACTAATACACGAATTCCCTTCGTCCCAGGCCAAGGAGACAAGATTGTATTCTCTGCGTAGAAGGCCACATCACGCACGGAGGTGTCGACCAATCGCAGCTTGTGTCTGCGGATCAAGGTGGCGAACCCGATATACAGCTCTGAGTACGCAAGGTTCAACCCGAGACACATGCGCGTGCCCCGTCCGAAGACCGTCATGTAGTGGGTGAGCGGGTGGATGCCGTCCGGTCCACGTGGGTCATCAAGCCAGCGCTCCGGCCGGAAGACGGTCGGGTCTGGGAACACGGTCTCGTTCATGAGCATGTGATATTGGTCCATGCTGACGGCGATATTAGCCGGGATGACGGTGCCTTTGTAAATCCAGGGGTTTGCTGGGTTGCGGTTGATGCGGACTAAGCGTTCGATGACGCCCATGCCCATTCTTAGAGCTGGAGATGGATTAGCATGACTAGATAGATTCTGATTGAAGATGAAGATGTGCGTACTTTCTTTTACAATTGCGGTAAGGTAGGGTAGTGTTTCCAACGTCGCCCACGGGGGAATCTGGGTTGCGTCGGGTACGGCGCTTTTCAGCTCAGATTCCAACTTGGCGTAGACGTCAGCATCATGCAAGATGTAGAAGCTGCCCAGAGCGAGCGTCCAAGCAGTGGTCTCGAGTCCGGCACCAATAAGTGATTCGGCCTCGTGCTGCATGCGTTTGTGTTCTAGTTCCTCACTGGGGAGGCTGGAGGCGAGCATCTCATGGAAAACAGTTGCGTGACCGGTCTGCCCTAGCCGCGGCTTCTCATTGATGCCACCAGTAGCTTGATGGCTAGAGCGGATGGTGGCAGTTTGTCGGGACATTTCCTGATGTATCAAGTTCAGTACAATGTGGGGTAAATTCACGCAAAGAGCTCGTGAAGCTTACCTCCCGGTACGCGATGATGGGCTCAAAGGGCGGAAACAATCGTTTCGCCAGCCAGTATGGCAGACTATCAGTTGCCGCTCCCAAGATCGGCAGGTAGCGAGTGACATGAGACCAGTTAGTGACCCGCGTGATGGCTCCCGTGAAAGGGGCGCGAAATTCCGGGGACAAATGTAAGTCCAACGGTGAACCAAAGACGAGGTCCATGATGTTGTCGGCAGCGAAGCAACGCCAGACGTCGTGGAGATTCAGCACACGCTCAGTACCAGCATATTCAGTAGTGAGACGGCGCGAGATGGTGTTCATCAACGCCTGGATGTCACCCGTCTGCTCGCGTACCTTAGACTTTGCGAAAAAGGGGCTGATGGCTGCGCGTCGTATTTTGTGAAGGTCATGGCGAGCTGTGCTGAACGTCGCGCCTGGGATCCCGAAACGGTTCTCCAGACGTTTGAGTTTATCATATGGCTTGCTTGTTGGATAGAGCGTGTCGAAGAAGTCAGGATCGTCGATGTGCAGCTCGTCAGGGTTGATGCGCACGATGGGTCCGTATTTCTCGTGCATGCGTTTGATAGCGAACGGGAACTGTCCACCGCCTTTGGGGACCAGGTCGAAGTATGCTTCATACAGACCAGTCAGGGCGGCCAGCTTTGGGCCGGGGAACTTGGCGATGGGGCTGAAGTAGAGTCTGTAGATGCTGACCCAAATGATGTAGCTAAGTCCAAGCACTAAAGCCGTCGCTGAAGCTGTCGAGATGAGATCTAACCCAGGCTCAAACACGTTGGCCAAGGGCCTTGGAGTCGAGTCGTTGAGGGCCTCCATCAAATCTTTAATTATGCTTCTGATGGGAATGCCAAGGTAGTAGAAAGCTCTGAGGTAGTATCAGTAGGTTGTTTCAGTCTTTTTCCCAAAGATGATATTCTGGGTAACAGTATGTAACTCAGCACGACCACAAGGCACCGCGCTGGCCTAGGCGTTTCCTAATAATTGTACATGATCAACAGCTTCAATGTTACCGCCTAGCACTAAAATACACTCAAGTAAGTCAGACTAAGACCTATTATTCCCAAGTAATCAATTCACATTCCAGAATCATGTTTGCCTCGTAGCATGTCCGGTCATGCCTACATAATACATCTTCCGATCTATCCTCCCTTCCCAGCCGATCAAGTTCTAGTACGCATGACGGCAGGTAATCGTGCAGCGCTGATGCACAAGTTCGCGCTTGTAAGACACACCCCCACGTCGCATCATGCTGACTTGACGGAGGCCAGACCTTGGATGCCTTGTAAATACAGGGATACCATGCTTACGACCTGCATTGAGCAGCTAGCCACCGTCCCGTCCCGCGCCTCCAGCCTGCATGTGAGCAGCGGGCGCCACAGCCGTTTACCCGGCTGAATACAGATGGCCCGTAGAAGCCATCCCGTAAATCCTCCAGTCACACAGCGCCTCCTGTGCTCTTTGTCAATGTACGTCGATGTACGCAATCAGGCTTAGCTGCATCGTGCTTACCGAGCTGCAAGGTCCTTACGATACAGCCGTTAGGAATCTGATCCCTACATATCAACGCCCGCCATGTCTCTCTTTTGTTTGCGCTTGCTTAGAAATTTTGAGGCGGATACAAAACTTGTGCGGATGCAAGAATGATTCTCACCGAAGTACCTAAATCCTCCGCGCCCCTGACGCCGGAGTTCTCATCCTACCTCACTCGGTCTACTCGCTTTCTCATAATTACCTCACCAACAAGAACACCCCTCGCTTCTCTTCAGCAGCAGCATTCCGAGGCCACCAACAGAAAGCCGCCATGGCACCTTTTTCCAGTCTCCGCGCCACTCTCACGCAAATCTACCCGCCCAAGCCCACCTTCACCGAGGCCGATGTGCCCGCCAACTCACAGCGTGGCCGAGTATTCATCGTGACGGGCGGCAATGCGGGTATCGGACTAGAGTTGACCAAGATTCTCTTTGCTGCGGGTGCTACTGTCTACATTGCATCACGTTCGAAGGTAGGAATGTTACGGGCAAACAAATCAAGAGAATTCATCCGCTGATATGACGTAGGACAAAGTGGAAGCTGCCATCAAAGATATCACGACAAAATCCGGCAACTCCACGACGAGTGGCCAACTGAAGTTCCTTCATCTGGACCTGAACGATCTCACCATCGTCAAAGCTGCGGCTAAAACGTTTGCCCAGCAGGAGTCTCGCCTAGATGTGCTCTGGAACAACGCCGGCACAGGTGCCAACGCCGTCACCCCGGGGCAGCGCACCAAACAGGACCTCGAGCCGATGATCGGTTTCCACTGCGTCGCGACCCTCTTCTTTACGCATCTTCTCGTGCCGCAACTGCGCGCTGCGGCGAGTTCCTCCCCCGCTGGGCAGACGCGCGTCGTCTGGACGTCCAGCGGTCTCGCGGAGGCTGGTTCGCCACCGAACGGCCTCGACTGGGCCGTAATCGACAAGGGGACGAGCAAGCCGATGCAGAACTACGGCGCGTCCAAGGCGGGGACGTGGTTTCTCAGTCGCGAGTTCGCACGGCGGCACACCAAGCAGGACGGCATCGTGAGCGTGTGTCTGAACCCTGGGTACCTGAAGACGGCGTCCTTTGACGGCACGCCGGCGCCGGTAATGATGATTATGAACGCGGTGATGCTGTCAGAGCCCCTCTACGGCGCGTACACTGAGCTGTTTGCTGGCCTGTCGCCCGAGGTGACGCCCGAGAGCAGCGGCTCGTATATCATTCCCTGGGGTCGCATCCGCGCCAATGCGGCTACGCCGCGACAGGATTTAATAAAGGCAGGAGATACCAAAGAAGAAGGAGGCCTGGGGTATGGGGAGAGGCTCTGGACTTGGAGCGAGGAGAAGTGGGCACCGTATGCTTAGGAAACGGCGATGTCAGATATGCAAGGGAGCGGATACAGAGAGATACACGTGCTGCATTGGTTCGGTTAGCATTCGCACGCAATCTTGTAGGATTCAATGCAATCAGTTTGCGGCGCAGCTCTGACCAAACGGAGAAATTCCTCCATCTGGTGTGGATGACACGGACCGGGATCCCCCCTGGGATCCCGGAGAGGGCCGAGACCTCCAACAGAAAAGCCAGCTACGCCGATTCCCTGCAGAGGTAAGACACCGTTAGTGGACCTATTGCACCTGGCCAACAGCCAAGACATGATCTATCTTGATAGTGCCCGCCAGGCAACAGCCAGCTAGCCACTAGTCCGCCACGAAGCGGCAGGAAGGCTTCCCTGTTAGCTACGCGGCGGCCCGTTGGATTCTTCATCTTCTATCTCCGAAGGCGTGGCGGCAAAGGGCATTCACGAAAGCTACCTTCAAGACAGCATGTCTTAGAGCTCCGGAGAGATAGGAAGACTCAGCCTTACGGGCTGCCGTGCTCCCGAGTCAAACCCCCCCGTCGTTCTCACGTCAGCCTGCGGAGTCTTTTATTGTCGTACCTTCACTCAATTGTCTGAATGCCGTGTGGAATTCTAGGAGGGACCTTCCAGTGGCCAAGTATACTGAACTTAAGATCGCACTGCCAGGAATCAGGTGCCTCTTCAGATGGTGCGGTTCCACGACGTTCCCGCTCGGAACACAATGCAACTCAACTTGCCATCTCCCACAACCATCAGCGAACGCCGGCGGCTGCAGAACCGCAATGCGCAGCGCAGATTCCGCCGTATGTCTACGTGTATTTCTACCCGTTGTTATCGTCACAGTACCACTAACGTGGGGTTTGTGATTCCCTTTTTCAAGAACGACGCGAGCAGCAGCAACAACAGCAGCAGCAGCAGCAAAGTGCCGCCATGGCAGGTAGTGGTGACCAGTTTCTCAACTCCGAGCCCACCTCATTACCTTTCGAACTAGATCATGGTCCGAGCGAGACGACCGCCTCCTATTTCGATGTCATCAAATCTCAAGAGAACAGCTTCAGCTACGACTTGAATATCGACCATCTTCTTCAGAATAGCACAAATACATCGACAGCAACAAGAATCACAACACAAGGGCTTGATAACAACGAGATTATATCCCCATCATACCAGTATTCTTCGGCATCTCCCTCCTCTCGTTCCCCGTCTCACGGTTCCACCTCAACCCCCCGACAAAGCCCATTCGAACATTTCTCGCCGTCATCTTCATTGACACCAGGCGCGACGAACAACAAGAATCGCAGTATTGTGCCTCCCGGCACTAGAGGCCATCCCTCTCCATCATCAACTACGCCAATAATACCGACTCCCCAGAAGCCCGGCTCCACATACGAGTACCTCGGCGTTCTCCATATCGCAGCGCAAAAAGGCCATGACCGCATAATTCAGATGCTGCTAAGCCATCATGGCATGGACTGCAACGCCCCGGACAGCGAGGGCCGCACGCCTTTGATGCACGCCGTGGTTGCCGGCCACGCGCCGGTGGTGCGTGCCCTCCTGACCGCCGGTGCCCGCTGCGACGTCGTCGATAACAGGCAACGCTCCGTGTTGCACCTAGCCGTGCTCCACCGGAGGGAGCAGGTGTTGCGGATGTTGCTGGCGGAGATCGGACAGGGGGCTGTGGACGGCGTACATCCGATTGGGCTAGGGGAAGCTCGGTTGGCCTGTCTCTTGGATGAGTACGACGCAGACGGGAACACGCCGTTGCATCTGGCCGTGACGGAGGGGTTCGAGGCAGGGGTTGTCATGTTGGTTCGGAGCGGATCCGATCTAGAGGTTGAGGCCAGAAGATGTTAGACATGATGGATTTATTCACAAGACGTAGAGTCCGAGAATACCTGGAAAGATGATAGACAGTGTGTGTACAAATACGATAGATAGCGAAAGCGATGCTTGGTTTTGAACACACATTTTACTCAATATAGATTGATGCAAACTTCCAACCTCTAACGTTCGTAATTGTCCTGTGGCAATGCGAATGAAATTCTTAATAACTAATTAGTCCATTGAACGCGGAGACGATTACCAATACCTGAAGGTCTGACAGCTCATCGTCAATTTAGCACCGAAGTTGGATGTGGTAAAACAAGAAACTCAACTAAAATAAATTATTACCAATTGCCCCTCGCAGGATACGTTGCTTCAATAATGATGTTTACATATTATACAGCCCTCATGGATTCCCATCAGAACCTAGCACCCTTAATCAAGTCCGACACAATCTTCCCTCTCCATCCGCAGCCCACACCTCGCTTCCCACAGCGGAGACCGCGTAAAACAAATCCTGGGGATCATACTTCTTCTTAATCGCCACCAGCTTTTGGTAGTTCTTTCCGTAAAATTGGCCCTGCCAGTCTCGCTGAGCGAAGTTAGCTTCGTTGAGATACGCCCCCGAGTTCGGCGTCACGGCCTCGATGGTCGGGAGCACGCGATCGAGCAGCTCCTTCTGCCATCCAGGAACTGGATCCCACGACTGACCCCAGGCCCAAGCCGTTCCGACCAGGCAGTTGAGCGACGTGTCGCGCCACGCGGGCAGGACGGCGTTCTTGGCGATAGGGGGTACACCTTGGGCGGTGGTGGTGTTGATGGCGGTGCACGCAAGATAGAATGTGCCGCCAGTCGTGATGCTGCGCATGGCGGACATCACGCCGGTGAGGTTCGCGTTGAGGTTCGCGCGGGTGATGAGCCGGCCGCCCTGCGCAGCGACAAGGGAAGCGTCTTGGAGGACGGGCCACACGTTGGTGGCGAGGATGTCGTAGACATTGCTGGTGCCAAAGGTATTCAGACCAAGCGATTGGGCGCTGAGGCCGTTCTGCTGAGACAGGGCCGTCAGCATCGGCTGCATTAGGGCATTCAGCTCTGTCTGGTTATGACTGGGCGCAATTATGGCAATGATATAGAAGGTGTTGTTCGTGACGGAGTACGTCACGTAGACGCCCTGGTCAAGGAGAGGAGGTAGCTGCGCATGAAACGTTGTCACCGCGTTCCAGTACGCGTCTTCTTTGTTGCCCGTGGACGCGATGCTGAAGGAGTAGGAGGCCGCGCCGGTCGGAGCATCGGGGAAGACCCGGGTCGTCATCGACACGACAACTCCGTATGTACCGGGACCGCCGCCGCTGAGCGCCCAGTAGAGGTCAGTGTTCTTCTCCGGAGTCGCGGTGAGATGCTGGCCCGTGGCCGTGATGACCTCCCATTCGAGCACGTTGTCAGCCCCGAGCCCGTAAATACCCGACAGAGATGAGTGCCCTCCGCCCTGCGTGTATCCGCCTACCAGGCCGACCGTCGGACAGGAGCCAGCAACCACGCGGTAGCCCCCGTTCTGGTGCGCGAAGGTGGCAGCCTCCCCGCCTTGCACGCCGGCGCCGAGCTTCACGGCTGGTCCCTTGTAGTAGCTGCTCTTGTAGGAGGGGATGAATTTCTTGTCTTTCAGGTTGTGTGTCCATAGCGAGAGGGCTCCCTTGCCGGTGCCTTTGCCATTCTGACTATTGTTTCACCGAGGCATGGTCAGCTCTGCATAATCTTCTTGCCACGTATGGATGTAATCACAGCCATCAAGGGAAGGGAAACATACTCATGGCCGGTGTTCTTGATGACAAGACGCACATTGTTCTGCTGCGCGAACTTCAGCCCAGAAATGATATCGCTGGGGCCCGTCACATTGATGGAGTAACTGGCATAGTTTCCAAGTTCGCAAGCGGATGACCGGGGCGTAAACGGGACGCAAGACTGGTTCTGGAACCAGGGCGACAGAAATTCGGCAGGGTAAGGAATCTGCAGGTTGGGTTGCCCCCACTGCTGTCGCAACGAGGTGCAGGTGTCATCGGAGTAGGTAGGATCATGGCACGAGTGGGCGAGAGGGTTTGTGGCCAGCAGACGTCCTCCTACGGTTGCATTCAGACGATTCCAGAGCGAGGAACTTGGCCAACCAGGGTCCCCGGAGATGTAACGACATGCAGCCGGTCGCGGGTAGGTCGCTGCAAGAGCGGTCGAAGCGAGGAGAAAGAGGATAATGATCTTCATGGTTTCGGTGTTTCTGCAAGCCAAGAAAAGCGAGTCAGAGTTTCATTCGATGACTGGTCCGGGTTACAGGTAGCCTCAAGAAGCCCTACGAGGCAATTGCATGTTGTTTGCATCAAGCCCTTTATATGAAAGCTAGGAGCTAGGAGCCTTGCTACGGCCTTTACACACTGATTTTCTATTTACGAAAGCTGAGATTGAATGGGGTCCTTTGCGCCGCTTCGCCTCCACGCGAGAAATCAATATTGCCGTAGGATTAATCGCATGACTTCGAAAGGGAGATTCCAGATACCAGAGATGTTGGATGCGAGAAGCCCCCAAAGCTGAGCCATCCGGAGCCTGATTCCGAAGAGATGCTCGGTGTGTTCGTTATCAGGGTCCATAGGCACACCTATTGCCTGCTTATGTGCAGATAAGCATGCGTTTGGGCATGCAAAGAGCCACTATTTGGCCCGACTAACTAAGAAGGGTGTCATTTCTCTAGCCGAGACTCACTAGTCTACGGCACGAAAGGACTTTTGATAGACGTGCCGATTGATGATGATGACCATTATGTCTTTCTTCAGCTTCCCACCCCCACGGTGCTTCGCCCCGCGCCGGATTACCTGCATATAAGCATGCAGCTAGGGCAAGCACGCGTCAATTAGCCCGCAAACGCATGCCAAGTCGATTCCAGGAACGTGGAAGTGATCAAACAAGGTTATTTCATTGGGTGCCATAATATCAAAGCCATTAATCATTCGTGTGCCGCACATGATAACAGCAAAGAGGATTCTAGAACAGGCAGAAGACACAAGCACAATCCATCTTAGGCTCCCAAAACTTCGCGCAGGAAGGCAACCTGCGCATCCAGCACTCTAGCAAAGTCGTCGCCACTCAGCACATCCATGTGACCCCTTTCTGGCACGACCAGGTGGCGTTTAGGCTCCTTCAACCGGTCATAAATCTCGGTCCGCTGAAGTTCTGCGGGCGAGACCACGTCATGCTCCGGTGTGACCACCATAACAGGGGTTGGAGAGACGCAAGGAATCAGTCCCATCGGCTGGAAGGCAGCAATGTGGTAGTAGCTGCCCAGCGTAGTCTCCAACTCGAAGGTCGGCTGCAGCTCTTTCGCCCCCGCCATCATCTTGAACCCGTTCACGTCGAAGCCCTTGCCGAAACCCGCTGGATTCTCCCCCTCGGCCGTAAGCATGGGGATGTAGACGGGCTTGTTGCCTGCTGCACGCGACTCACGATCGCGGAGCGCCTTGGCTAGTACGCGAGGCCATTTCTCGGGGGGGAAGTCCCAGATGGTGAGCGGGCACATGGCCACCACGGCCTTTGCGCGTTTATCCAGAGCAGCCGCGACGAGGGATAGCATGCCGCTGTACGAGAAGCCCCAGTACGCAATGCGCGCCGGGTCAACCAGCGGATGGCCTTTGAGGAAGGTCAGGGCGTCGTGGTAGTCCTCAACGTTGCGCGAGGGATGGATTTCGTTGCGCGGAGTCCCGTCGCTCAGGCCAATTGAGCGGGGATCATAGATGAGCACGGTGAAATCGAATTTCTGGAAGTACTCGGCGACTTCTGCAACCATGGTCTCTTTGGTGAAATTGAACTGAGGGAAGTTAGGGCTCTACGGCTTCAAGTTGTTAGAGTCCATGAGAGGAGAGAACGTACTCCAGGAGTCGCGATAATGGCTGCGCCTCGCTTTGATGCTGGGTAAAGCCAGCCACGGAGGACAAGACCATCAATGGTTCTGAACTCGACGTCTTCACGAGCAGCCATGGTGCAATGGTGGGTGTTTACGAAGATTGAAGTGTAGTATCCAAAGAAGTATGTGATAGATGGTGATTCTCTTAGAATTGTCTACTCCCGATAGATTGGAGGAATCTTTAAGATGACCAGACGTGAGGGCTAGATTGACATCAGGGGGAGCCAAGTTCTCTTCAGTCTCATTCTCTCAATCTCTCAATCTCAACAAAAACACGTTCTTGATGTCCAACGCCTGCATGATTGATAATCCGCATATCGGTAAGCAAGGATACAACTGCGAGCCCTGGACTTAGAGTCAGCAGCAATTCATTCGTATCAAACGCCAATTGGATTCCATGGATAGTCAAAGTCGAGTAAAGGCCCATCCCAACGGACGCTGCTTGATCTTACAGTCATTGGAAAGTCTCCGCTTCACATGTAATCTTGACTCACCTGGCTCTCACTCTATCTTGATTTCGCTTACACTGCATCTCATGCTTACATTGCATCATTGTTTGCCAATAATCATGCATACCCGGGGACAACTGAAGTAGCGACATGCTGGGATAATCAATTTGCTTCTCCTGAACGAATCGAGAGCACTCAGTCGTGTGATGGGGATTGATGAGCCTCAGAGTATGAAGGATAATCTCAATAGCCCTTCACGAAGTCTTTTCAATTAACTATCTAAACCAGATCTATCCGACAAGTCCTGAGTTAGTTCCACGCCGCTTCTTCATCCAACAACTAGTCACAGATTCACTTTTCCCTCACTCAACTCCATCATGAGCATCTCATCAGACACCAAGCAGACCCCCGCGTGGTCAAGTGATAGCGGCAACTCGTACGCCATGATCAACGATGGGGCCCAGCGGAACCACACACAGACACCCGTTGCCGTCGTCGGCATGGCCTGTCGCCTCCCCGGCCACAGCAACTCACCCACCCTTCTCTGGGACTTTCTCCAACGTGGCGGTATCGCAAAGAACGAACCTCCAGCAACGCGGTTCAGCTTGCCCGGACATCATGACGAGCACCGCAGGCCAAGAACTATGAAGAGCCCTGGTGGCATGTTCATGGAAGACGTCGACCCGGAGGTCTTTGACGGGCAGTTCTTCAACATCAGCCGCGTTGACTGCATAGCTATGGACCCGCAGCAACGTATTCTTCTCGAAGTTGCGTACGAATGCTTGGAGAACGCGGGTATCCCGCTCGAGGCCATCAGTGGCAAACGAGTCGGATGCCTTGTCGGCACAAACATCGTGGGTACGTGACTTACGTGATGATACCTGGCCTCGGATCCAACTGATATTTCATGTCACTGACACTGAGTGCTTGATAGACTATGCCTCTATGCAGAGTCGTGACCCCGAAAACCGTCCAGAGTCTGCGACGATAGGTGTGGCCTGGTCCATTTTGAGTAATCGGATCAGCCACTTCCTCAACATCCACGGCCCCAGGTAAGTCGGAGACGGCGCCCGGCCTTAGTGCCTCTGAGCAAGGCATCCAGGCAGCTAACTCTCGTAACAGTATGACAGTAGACTCTGCATGTTCTGCCAGTCTTGTCGGCGTGGAAGTTGCCTGCCGATACCTCGACACCCACCAGGCAGACGGCATGCTGGTATCCGGGGCCAGTCTCTGGCTGACTCCCGAGCACAACGAAGAGATCGGCATGATGCGCATGACACAGTCAGCCACAGGCAGATGCCATAGCTTCGACGCCAAGGCGGATGGGTATGCCAAGGCAGAAGGCATGAACGTTGTCTACCTGAAGCGTCTTGACGATGCCCTGCGGGACGGCGACCCGATCCGCGCCGTCATCCGCGGCACCGCCACCAACAGTGACGGCCGAACACCTGGAATCGCTAGCCCCAGTGCCGAGGCCCAGTCCGCAGCCATCAGAGCGGCATATGCCAACGCTGGCATCAAGAACTTCAACGACACGCAGTACCTGGAGTGCCACGGTACCGGCACGCCCGCCGGAGACCCGATTGAAGTCAGGGGCGCCGCCTCTGTGTTCGCAGGCACCCGCGAGCCCGGCCAGGACCTTGTCATCGGGTCCATCAAGAGTAATATCGGCCACTCTGAAGCCGCGGCAGGCTTGTCGGGTCTGATGAAAGTCGTACTCGCGCTTGAGCATGGCATCATCCCCGGGAACCCGACCTTTGTCACCCCCAACCCCAACATCGACTTCGTGGGCTCCCGTGTTCGTCCCACACGCATGTCCATCAAGTGGCCAGAGACATCTTTGGACGTCCGCCGTGCAAGTGTGAACTCATTTGGTTTCGGTGGTTCTAACGCACACGCCATTTTGGAAAACGCCCCCTTCGCAACCCACGTGTCGTCTTACAAGGAGATTACCTCGGACTTCTTCGGCGATGACGACGGCGATGAAGACGCGATCGTCGCCGAGGACGCCCCGTCAAAGGTGCTCGTCTTGTCCGCAAATGATCAGTCATCGCTGAAGAGCTACATCAGCGCACTCTCGGGGCATCTGATTAACCCCGGAGTCTCGGTCGACATCGACGACCTAGCGTATACGCTCTCAGAGCGCAGAAGCCACCACTACTACCGCGCTTTCCTGACCACAAACTCCAGCAGCAGCATTGATCAGGGGAAGATTCAATTTGGTCAGAAGGCTGCCTCCAAGCCGCGCGTCGGGTTCGTTTTTACCGGTCAGGGAGCGCAGTGGCCACAAATGGGGTCGAGTCTCGTCAAAGCCTTCCCGCAAGCAAGAGAGGTGATCGAAGAGCTGGATCAGGTTCTCCAGAAACTTCCTGATCCGCCTGCGTGGAGCTTGCTTGCTGAGCTGACGGAGGAGAGAACCTCTGCGGCCCTACGGCAGCCAGAGTACTCCCAGCCTCTTGTGACCGCGTTGCAACTGGCCATCCTGGAGGTGGTGAAGGATTGGGGTATCAGTCCCGAGGCTGTGGTGGGACACTCATCTGGAGAGATTGCTGCCGCTGCGGCTGCAGGCCTGATCACACCAGACGATGCCATCAAGATCGCTTATTACCGTGGTCAAGCCACTAAGAAGTTCCCGCCCAAGGAGCCATTGGGTATGTTGGCTGTCGGCGTCAATGTCGAGACGGTCGAGAAGTACATGGGGCCAGAGAGCAAGGTTCAGATTGCCTGCTACAATAGTCCCAGCAGTCTCACTCTCTCTGGCACTGCTGCAGCGCTGAAGTCTCTTGAGGAACGCCTGAAGCAGGATGGTCACTTTGCCAGGCTACTTCTGGTCGATGCTGCGTATCACTCGGACTATATGGCGCCTATTGGAGAGGCCTACGAGAAGATGCTGAATGAGAACACCAACACAGCTCCAAGCAGTCCCACGGCTAGGATGTTCAGTTCCGTTACTGGTCAGGTCCTGACCGAGGCGCCAGATGCCGCGTACTGGAAGAGCAACATGGTTTCCCCGGTCCGCTTCACCACCGCGGCTAAGGAGCTTCTCCAAGACTCTCAAGCGGCAGTTGATTTCCTAATCGAGATCGGTCCCAGCAATGCTCTGTCAGGTCCCATTGCCCAAATCAAGAAAACCCTCTCGGGTGCGCCTGCCGACGCGCAGTATACGTCTGCGTTGAAGCGTGGGCCAGACTCGATCCAGTCCTTGTACAACGTCGCCGGTCAGCTCTTCCTCCTCGGTGGGGCGGTTGATCTCAGGAAGGTCAACCGAACTCATGAGTCGAGGACGCCCTCAGTCATTGTCGATCTGCCCAACTACTCCTGGAACCATTCTCAGCGCTACTGGCACGAGACGCAGGCCAGCCGCGACTGGCGCTTCAAGAAGTTCATCAACCACGACCTCTTGGGGTCGAAGATGAACGGCACCGCGTGGCAGTCTCCCATCTTCCAAAAGACACTCCGCCTCGGCGACATGCCCTGGCTTCGAGACCACATGATGGGTAACCAGATCATCTTTCCGGGAGCGGGCTATTGTGCCATGGCGGTGGAAGCTTTGTATCAGGTGTCCATGGTGACGAAGTGGGATGGAAAAGAGCCGTCCCGGTATCAGTTCCGCTTCCGCGACATCCGCTTCTTGCGCGCCTTGGTGCTTGAGGAGGATGAGCCCGCCACGTATACTCTGACCCTGACCCCGGCAAGAGGGGGATCGATCCGTGACTGGTTTGAGTTCCGTGTCTGCTCAACGAAGGACACCGTTTACACCGAGCATTGCGCCGGCTTGATCTCCGTGGAGACCGACTACAAGGAGACACCAGCCCCGAGCGGTTCTCTCAAGCCCTTGGAACTTGCTACTCCTGCCAGCATGATTTACAAGGCAGTTCGGGAGTCTGGCTACAACTACGGCCCTTGCTTCCAGAAGCATCTCCTCTTCGAGGCCACCATGGGCGTGACCGAAAGCCGCTCGACTGTGGCAATGGACCCCCCGCCCTCTACCTACGGACAGTCGTTCTATCCCATTCACCCGGCCAGCATTGACGCCTGCTTTTACATTGGCATCCTGGCCATCTCCAAGGGTGACATCCCACTGGTGGGAGCAGTCCACGTCCCGCAGATTCTCAGTAGCCTCGTCATCCCCATGCGCCGCGAACAACCCGCGGAGGCGATTGCCCTGGCCTCGGCTCGCTTCCTGGGCATCGGACGGGAGGACCTCCACCGCAACTACGGCTCCGACCTGTCTTTGTACGACCCCAAAGACGGGTCGCTCATCTTCGAGATGAAGGGGCTGACAACGCGCGACATCGAGACCAGCGAGGAAGAGGGCGCCAAGCACCTCTTCACCCACCTGGCGTGGGAAGCCGACCTTTCCCTGCTACTGTCCGCACCGGAGCCCAAGCTGCGGCAGTTCTTGAGGGACAATGACAAGACGACGCATGACCTGATCGATCTCGTCGCCCACAAGAAGCCAACGCTCAAGGTTCTGGAGGTGAACCTGAGCTCAACGGACGCCTCAAGCCTGTGGGTGCAGGAAGAGTCTAACCCCATCCGCGCCGCCGCATCTCAGTACAACTTTGCCGTGAGCGATCCCGCGACGCTGGTCAGCGCGCAGAGTCAGCTTTCAACCCACGCCCCTTCCGCTCAATTTGGCTTGCTTGATGTAAACAGCTCCGCTGCCATCGTGCCAGACGTCAAGTTTGACCTCGTCATCGTCAAGGCTTCGGACCGTATCGATGCGACGACGCGAGACAGGGCTCTGGCAAGCATCTCCCAGTCGGTAGAGGCCGGGAGCATTGTTATCAGTGTCGGCCAGGGGGTATCACTCAGCCCGCTCGGCAGCGTTCAAACCGTCGGCGATGATGCTTCCGTTGTCTATATCCAAAGCGCCGAGAAGACCAAGGAGGTGGCCTTGCCGACGGTTAGCTTCATCAGCCTCACCGGCACCGTTCATGAGCAGTCCAGCAAGATTCTGGGACACATCATTCAAAGTGGTTGGAATGTCCAGAAGCTCGCTGATCCTGCCAATGTCACTGCTGACCAGATCGTCCTCGTGCTCGATGAGCTGGTGTCGCCCATCATGATCCACCCAGACGCGAAGCAGTGGGACACTCTGAAGAGTCTCATCCAGAAGCAATGCAGAATCCTCTGGGTTACTTCTGGCGCTCATTTAGACGTCACAAACCCCAATTCTGCGGCCATCAACGGATTCTTCCGCTCCGTTCGCGCCGAAGAGGGCGCCCGCCTCGTCAACTTGGACGTAGAGCGCCCTGGAGGAGATGCCACTAGTGCGGCCATCATCTCCTGTCTCGACGTTCTCTCCCAGCCTGACCCCAAGGACCAGCTCGAGAGCGAGTTCGTCGAGCGCGGCGGAGTCGTTCGTGTCAGCCGTCTGCTGCCGGACTGGGAGATCACCAGGCTCCAGGGTCATCACCCCAGCGACCGCAAAACCGAGGTGTTGGATATTCACGCCAGCGAGACCATCATCAACATGGGTGCGGAGCGTCTGGGCGACATGGATTCCATCCATTATCACGAGGTCACGGCGGAGCCTCAGCCGCTTGAGGACGGCTACGTCGAGGTCGAGGTTTACGCCGCTGGTCTGAATTACAAGGACGTCGTTGTAACCATGGGCATCGTTCCTGGTGATGAGCGCGAACTCGGTGGCGAGGCGGCTGGCATCGTGACAAAGGTTTCGCCGAGTGTCACCTCACTAACGGTTGGACAACGTGTTGTAGTCTTCACCCCGGCGACCATTTCCAACCGCGTCCGCACCCGGCCCGGACGAGTGCATGCCCTCCCTGACTGGATGTCGTTCGAAGAGGCTGCCACTCTTTGTGGTGTTTACTTGACTTCCATCTACTCATTGTTCGACATGGCAGATGTTAAGGCAGGCAAGACCGTACTGATTCACTCCGCGGCGGGTGGTGTAGGCATCTCCTCTATGCAGCTGGCTCAGTATGCCGGTGCGGAGGTAAGTTGCAGCAATACCTTCTTGCGATACGACTTTCCACTACGGGGGCACTCACTAACACTTGCCCTCTACTAGGTCTTTGCGACTGTTGGTTCTCCTGACAAGAGAGAATTCATCAAGTCCACTTTCGGTCTAGAGGACGACCACATCTTCAACTCCCGCGACACATCTTTCGGTGACCAAATCTTGGCTGCGACTGGTGGCCGAGGAGTCGATATCATTCTCAACTCTCTCACCGGTGACATGCTGGATGAGTCGTTCCGCGTCCTCGCCGACGGAGGTGTTATGGTCGAGATTGGTAAGAAAGATATCTTGGATCGCAACAGCCTTGCCATGGAGCCGTTCGACCGCAACATCTCCCTGAGGGCCGTTGATATGTCTCACCAGAGAGCTCCTGATCATCTCATCGCTCGGTAAGCTTTCCTTTCGGCCACCGCCACATCACTCCGAAGATATACTGACTGCTTTCTGTTCTTTTCAAGTCTCATGACCAAGCTCTTTGAGCTCCTCGAGGGACGCCACGTCAAGCCAATCAATCCCATCCATATCTTCTCCTTCACCGACGTCGCCAATGCGGTGCGCTACCTGCGCGCAGGCAAGCACATCGGCAAGGTCGTCATTTCAGACGGTCCCGAGCCGAAGATTTCTGTTCCCGTAAGTTGCCATCCGACTAACGAAAAAAACGTCATTGTACAGAAACTCATGCTGATTTTAACAGGTCCGGCGCGCCCCGAAGACTCTCCACTTCCGCGATGATGCCACTTATCTGATCGTAGGCGGCCTTCGCGGTCTCTGCGGCGCGCTCGCCATCTACCTCGCCAAGAGCGGCGCGAAGCATCTCGCCGTCATCTCCAGAAGCGGGCACACGGATGAAAAGTCCCGCTCCATCGTTAAGCAGGTTAAAGCTCTTGGGTCGAGCATCGATCTCCTGACAGCCGATGTGACCAGCAAGGGCGACGTCCAGCGGGCATTCAACCAGACGTCCTTCCCAGTTGGAGGCATCATCCAGGGTGCAATGGTCCTCCGGGTAAGTGTTTCCCTCGCCGATAAGAGACAAATCAATTCCTGACATCACTTTCACTTAGGACCGCCCGTTCGACTCAATGACACTTGAAGAGTACCACCAAGCCGTCGGTTGCAAGATCCAAGGTACATGGAACCTCCACGATGCAGCAGAGAAGCTTGGTCTCGAACTCGACTTCTTCACTATGCTCTCGAGTATCTCCGGTGTCATCGGGCAGCGCGGACAGGCCAACTACGCCGCCGCCAACGTCTTCCTGGACTCCTTCGCCGCCTACCGCCGTCAGCGCGGGCAAGCCGCGTGCTCCATCGACCTGGGCGTCATCGAGGACGACGGCTTCATCGCGAACAACGATGGTTTCCAGGAGAAGCACTTTGACAGCCGCACCTTCAAGGGCATCAACAACGGCCTCCTCCGACAGATTCTCTACTTCTCGATCCTGCAGCAGGCCGGTCGATTCCCGGGCTCGCCGTCGGCTACGCAAATGGTCACGGGCATCGTTGCGCCGCAGCCGGCTGACTCGGCGCTGTTGCAAGATGCCCGGTTTGCGGCGCTGCGAACCGGGTCAGCTGGAGGCAGGGCGGCTGGCGAGGGTGGTAACAGTGCCAACGCGGATGTGCAGGCGCTGCTGCTTCTTCTGAAATCCAAGTCTGCTGAGACTTCGGCACAGATTGCAGCGACAGGTATGCACATCGTCCTTCTTTTTCTCTATGCCGTGGTGTTTTAGATAGATGTACTAATCCGATCTTTCTCTTCAGTGGATGTTGTGAACAAGTGTTTCGTCCGCATGCTCCGTCTCTCAGAGCCGATGGACCCCGCCCGACCCCTTTCGGTGTACGGCATCGATTCACTGGCCGCGGTGGAGGTCCGCAATTGGGTACGCAACGAGCTTGGGGCCCTAGTTACCACAGTCGACATCATGAACGCGTCCTCTTTGTTGTCGTTTTGTGAGAAGATTGTTTCAAAGATTGTGGTCGAATAAATGTTCGTGGGTTATGGCGTTCGGGGCTTAGTGTCAATGATTACAAATCGTCAGAACAATTGGGCAAGCCCGCTACGGGCTAATAAAATCTTTGTTGCAATATCTAGCTTCATCATTTGCAATAAATGTAGACCAAAACACGATATTCGGTAAAGACAAAGATGTCCATGGATCAATACAGGTTAGGCATATTGGGCCTCCATGTTGGAGTACATCGGTTGGCCAAAGCTGCAACGGTGGTCGAGTAAACACCAAACACACGCGGCATAGACTTGTCAGACCACGTACATTTGACATTACCCCAATCCCGAGCTGACAACTCGCACCAATGGCTGATTCTAATCACCTGATTTGTCGTGACCCAGGCCTAGTTGCTGATCTGCCCACCCCGCGCTGGCGTCATCAAAACGGCCATGGATGCCGGGAAACACGCAAACCCGTCTTTTGAAATCTGCAACGTTCGAGCATTTTAGCCGACCTTAGACACAGACTTTGTCGCTCAACTTGGTAGCATCCCTAAGAGATGGACGATCATGTATTAGTCCCGACGCCGCCGGCCTCGGCGAGCGGCCACTCCAAAGATTTCGATTTTAGCACTACGAGAACCTTGGTGAGTTTTGCATCTATGAGCGACTTTTGAACCCAGTCTAATATGGAGATCCCATCAGTATCCCGCTGTCAAACACGCAACTCTGCCGGTAGATGGCGCAGGCCACGATACCTTTTCCATCAAGCACCTCGTGCTCCTCCTCGCTTTCGTTCCCGCCTTTGCGACATGGAAACTATGTGGAGGATACAACACCTTGGTAGTCGCTCTCTTCACGCTCTTGGTGCCCGTCGCCGCTGCATTTTGGTACGTTGCATCGTGTATCTCGCCTCCGATCAACGAGAAAATTCAGAACCCCGGTCGGCCGGTCGAAGACTACATCACCTTCAAAAATGAGCACGACCGAGACCGATACTGGGGCAGGCATAAGATAGCGATGGGCACTTTCACAAAGATGTACTTCGACGGTGATGTGGATTTCAATGGTGACGCACTTGAAATCCTGGAGTGGAGGTATGACTGGGCGAGTTGGAGGTTCACGAGAGAGATGACGAGGTTCGTGGTGTTGACGTGGCTTCCTGAAGTGATCTCGTCCTACCTATTTCCAAGTGAGTCGGGTAAAAGTGTGCCAAGGCCATGAATACTGGAGCACTGGCTAAGTCGAACTTTAGGAGAAAGGCAGCTGGTAGAAGATCAGCGCGGTAGCGACTTTTACTCATGGTTTCTTGGTCCACGATTGGCTTACACTTCAGGCATCATATCGGATATGAATATTGAGGAAACGCTTGAAGACCTGCAAGACAACAAGCTTGCTGCGCTCTGTGAAAAGATCGACCTACAACCAGGAGAGCGGCTTCTCGATATCGGTTGCGGATGGGGTTCCCTCGTAACCTTCGCCAGCGTCAATTACGGTGCCCTCGCGACTGGGCTTACGATTGACCCGTATCAGGCTGATTTGGGAAACTGGCGCCTCCAATCTGCAGAGATATCCGAAGCCCAAAGCCGTATATGCAGTCGGGCGTATGAGGGTCCCGACGAAAAATATGACAAGATTGTATGTGTGCAGTCATCTGGGCAAGAGGATTTGAAAGTGAGCGGGTTCTTTGAGCGCTGCTATGAGATGCTTGCGGATGATGGAGTGTTCCATGTCGAGATCACCGCGTCGAGACGTGCGTGGCAATACGAGGATCTGGTCTGGGGGTTGTTCTTGAAGAGGCATGTCATTCCTTGGATGACGATGGGGTGGGACTTGGGGAGGTATGTGACTGCTCTCGAAGAGGCGGGATTCGAGATTCAAAGGTACGACTCTCTAACTTCATCTTGCTCGTCTGGCCAAATATCATGCTGACATTTGACAGCCTCGACAATATTGGGCAGCATTATTCTGCTACCTTGTGGAGGTGGTACAAGAATTGGACGGGCAATCGGGATAAGGTCACGGCTAAGTATGGTGAAAAGTCATACCGGGTAAGTCCCGCACAAGCGTCATCCGGCTGTGTCCAAACGAAATATGCTCACAAGTTTAGATCTGGGAATACTTCCTTGCAATGGCGACTATCATATTCCGGCAAGGAACCATGGGTCGCTACCAAATTACGCTGGTGAAGAATCTCAACGGAGTCCACCGTGCGGGTTTACACCAGACCCGGTTTTCTGTGGCGGAGGCGTTGGCCACCAGCAGAGCACAAGGGAAAAACAGGTTCCCTATTTGACATTCGGACTCCAGTCGAAGATATTGACTGTATGAACCGATCACTCTATGGTAATAAGTAATCTGCGAGGCTTCTTAAGGATGTTGTAAATTGCAAGCGTCGTTGCTTTATGCTGAAACAGTGGAAGCAAGTGAGGGTATGTTTGTAATCCACGTCGAATTAGTTACGGGTGCATATGAATAATCCATGTTCGAATCGTTTAGTCTAACAATACCATAACCGAAGAAAATTTCAATCTACACTGCCGAATTAACATGACTCTGATTTACAGGGTTAATAAGACCTCATCCCCATAGGACATGAACACAAACACCGTGCGACTGCTGAACTCAGCTGTGTGGGTACGACCTTCTTTACATTCAAACTCCCTGAATGAAAAGGATCGACGGCGTGCCATGAAAACGAATGGGCACTAGCCGGGTTCGGCAAAAGCAATGGACACTGTGGGAATTGAACCCACGACCTTTCACAAGGCGCATCGCCGATATCGACGAGGATGCGAAGCGAAAATCATACCCCTAGACCAAGCGCCCGTTGTTAGGAAATCGGCTGACTTGTCTCTCTTGAAGCTGGGGATCTCCCTAGGCGGCTCTGAAGGTATTTTCCTGCCGCTTCTGGGCCCCTAGGATTCGTCCTCCTTGTACATAGATTCAATTCCCTATCTCCCATTTTCTACCTGGCTACTATGCTGCAACGCGTCGGCAGACGTCACTTGCTATCATCATGCTTGACTTTGTACATACACACTGTTTTCCCTGGGGTGAAACGTGGAAGTTACGGGTATCTAATTAGAGACATTTTATTCAGAGGCCGAATTATATAAAGCATGTGAGAATCATGCCTATTGAAACATCTTATGCCGGTGTTGCCATCTCACAAGCAGTGATCCGGGTTGGTATCCGATGGATTTCCCCACCACGCAGGGAACGGGTGCGGGTTGCCACTTGCACCAAACACCGCGAATGACAGAATGAAGATGATAAGTTGGGACCCTCCGTCCAGCGCGGCCCCAATGAGATAATTGTACTTGTTGTAGATTCGCGGTCTTCTGCGACGGAGCCAGAACTGAGAGAAGACGCCCACTGCGATGGAAGACCAGATCCACGACGTATTACCGAAGAATGTACCGCCAGCAGATGCAATGATAATGGTTGTGTTGATTGGCCAATCCTTAATCCGAGGAACCAGTTTGATCAGACCCCAGTGCAGAATCGGAAGAGCTGCGCCGATGAGGAGCCCTAGGGGAACGATGACATAGCGACCTGTTGGGCCGTACATCTCTTTGGCGAGCGACCATGTGATGGCTTGAGAGTTCAGACTCTGCATAGAAGAACCGCTCCAGACGATAGTGCCAATGGGGTCGAGGAGAACCTCCCGTTGGTTCGTCACAATTGTGGTCATCACAGCGTAGTTCAACCCAGCACCAAGCAAAGTGCCGTAGATCTGGGTGCAGAACATGACGCGATGCGGGACCTTAGTATATTGGCCCACCTTCAGCCAGTTGGCGAGGCTTACGGCGAGAAGGATGACTTGATGGGACCAACTTGCGAAGAAGAGGTTTGCCAGGGGTCTACCAGGGTGGATCAAGCCAGCAAGCATTTTGGAGAGTTGGTTGGTGCTGACTCCGCTTCCGAAGAGGCCGTTGAGAATGCATGAAAACGGTGCGATGAAGGTCCCAAGCAGCAGTGCAACTATGTAGCCCCACCAAGGTAGCGTCGTCTCGCCGATGATGTTGACAACCAGACCGGCGATGAAGGTGAGGCCGAAGAGAGCGAGGTACCACCACATTGGAGTCTCTTTATATTTCAGCATTGCTTGGTAGTGAATGTCTGGTTGGGTCTGGTTACGAGCACTCTTCCAGGCTTCTACCATATCTTTTCCATAGAAGATGATGACGTGGGTAATCAGCGCACCAATGGCCATGCTGGCAGTGAGATAGCCCCAGACCGTACTAGACGCCAAATTGGGCAGGCCAGCCTGGTCAATCTTGCTGTAGTCGATAACCCCACGGTCGTTCAGTACCGACGTCGTCGCCCATCTAGTGCCGTTGTTCGCGAAGAGGGATGTAGACATAAAGGGGAACGACTTGGCACTCCAGGTGTTGCTGTAGAAGAGTGCTGGCATAACGATGTACCAGATGGCATAACCGATCCACGAATTCAGCTGTTGTTTGAAAGGGAGCGCAAGATACGTGCTTTGGATATACTGCCAATCCAGTGAGAAGTTAAGCAAGCCCATGCCTTCGTTGGAAGATGCTCCGCCGAAGATGGTCGTGATGACGCTGCGAGTATTGGTCGGGGCGCCCATAGACGCGAGGCAGAAGACGGAAATGCCGCCAAACCAGGTCACCATGTACGCTGGAAAGAGCTCCCACACAGCAGCGATTCCCATAGCAATCCCGAACTTCCTTAGGCGGTCGCGGTTGGCGATGCGGTCGAAATGCAGGTTTTGGAAGAGAACTACCTGGGGAAGAGTGCCCCAGTAGACCATCTCGCCCGGGTACACAACCAATGGGCGAAGAAGGCCGGCGAGGACGAAGCCGCAGAGAGAGATCGAGAAGGTGGCTAGTACCGCAGTAGTCGCCGTGACTTCGCGGTCATAGAAGAGGCGCTCGACAGCGTAGATCTCGATTCCGGACAATCCATTGTTGCCGGAAGAGGCGATAAGAGATGCGACAACGTGTTCTTTAATGCCAAATGGCTGACCGGAGTTGATGAATCGAAGTACTCTCTGGAGCAGCGGCCATTTAAATCGATCCGGCCGCGGCGTTGCTAGAGCCCAGGCCTCGCCGAATATGAACACCAAGAGTTGGAGAAAAACTGCAGAAACTGCCATTTGAGTCGGCTTGAACGTGTAGAGCATCGTGATAACGCTGGCGAGTGCGGTGAGTGCGGTACCGAGGACGATAGAGCGAAACGTCAAGGCAGGGTCGCCATCGTCGCGAACCGACACCACGAACTTGGACACATCAGCTCCTGTTTGATCATGTTAGAGCTAGCGACTATTCAATCTTCTTGGAAGACGAATTACCAGTGCGAATGACCGGATATCCGTTAACATATTCAACATTCTCATCCACGAGCGCGTCATCCGACTTGGCTTTCTCGTTATCGCTCGTTGAAGCCTCAGACGGCGTTTCAGTGGCGGCGGTTACGAGAGCTGGCTTGTCCGAGTCGTCGATAACTTTGTCGCCCAGCGACGGTTCCTTGGGGTTCGACATCTCTAAGGCACGACGGCTGCGGAGCGAGAACGACAGAAACGAGCGCCAAAGAGCGCGTGGGTTGCAGTATCGAGCCGAGGAGGGTAGTGGAAGTTCTATTCGTTACTACCACGTGGTGATGTTACTGCGATAGCAACATTCGATGCGGGGATGTTTGCAGCATATTAAAATGATTCAACTTTGTGTGGTCGACTCCATGTGAATGGGCATGGAGTAAGCAAAGAAGAGGCCGCACGGTCGGCGGCTCGCAATCGTCCATCATGGCTTCGACGGCACTGACTTTCGAGGACAGGGATGATGCTGGAGGTTCTAGCCAACCCCATGACGTTTATTGTTCTTGTTTCTGCCAATGCGTTCAGAAAGAAACAATCTAGTTGAAAGCCGAAGTCGTCGGATCTCCTTAGCCTCTCATGTTATGATGAAACAGTAAAGTTAAAAGCGTCCAGTGAGGCAACACCAACAAACTGAAACTCGTCGCCGACACGGCCGCTTACAGCGCCGAGATATCTGAGATAAACGGGACTATTGACAATCACTACGGTCCTAGTGATATTCATAGTCAGGTGACCTCCCTCAATCAACCCAAATTCAAGCAACAGCCCCGATGTCGAGTTTGCTAGTCCATCTCCCCACGTGGTGACCCCCACAGAATCAGATGCACAGCTGCTGAGTAGGACGGTCCCATTCTTCGTTACAAGACCCGACCGGTGGGTATCGCCGGTGGGGGAACGCGCATCAATCCAAACCATGGAGTAGGGGCCGATGCGCGCGTGCCCCCAATGCCAAGATCCCACTGCTTGTGTGAATGGCACTGAACCCCAATTCTTGTCATGATAACCAGACCCGGAGAAATCCAGAGCTGCATCTCCAAGCTTGAAGTGGGCAATTGCGGAAGCGTCCGGCTGTGGATTCAACCAGCCGACACCGGGAAAAACCTGCTGCTCGGCGCCGGGCGCATTCAATCCACAGGGGTATCTTGACGGCAAAGTCTGGAGAAAGATTAGCCGTGGGAGTTTCGGGACGAAGTTCAACAACCTGGACGAACCGATCGCAAAGATAAACTTCCGTAGACTCCATATTTGGGAGAGTTGAGAATGATCTTGAACGATGTTTCGTTCGAGTCCAGGCCTCGGCCGCCAAATGAGGCATTGCCGCCTCCCCATGCCCCATTGATCTCGTCCTTGTCTTCACTCTCGATTATGAGCGCTCCACCGGAGGCAAGAATTGTGTGGCTGAATGCGCTGCCATTGGCGAAACTGCCAGATACGATGACAGACATTGGTCCGCCCGTGTCGGTTGAAGGGAATGCCGTCGAGCTGGCCATTAAGAACACGATCGATATCGACTCGTTCGATGAGGTAGAAACTGCGTCAAAATACCACCTGTTTTCCAACAAAATTAGTAAAAACATTTGGAAACTGAGAAAAAAGGAATGAGATCTTGAGGCTACGGGCTCCGTACCAATCATATGTAGTGGCATTCGGACCTGGGCTGAGTCGCGGGCCGTCAAAACTGGTCGACGCGAAGTCCACATGAACATCGCCAGATTGGAGCTCGTTCGGGAAGAAAGTCTGTCGACTTGCAGCTACTTCGGCACAAATCGCGGCGATCACCACATTAAGTAGAAGATTCTTCATCTTTGTTTGCCACTGCCAAACTTCTTCCCCGATGAATTGTGGCAGAGGAATGCTGGTTTACGAATAGCAACTGACAGAAACAAAGGTCGTCGAAATGAGATTGGAAAGGGAATTGTCCGTCAATGACTCGTTTTTATCGACAG